CCCCCCCCCCTCCCTCCCGCCCCTATTCTTCCAACCTCATTACAGATGAGATTCGCTAATTTTTAACTCTTTTAAGCCTTCTCTTTTGAGGTTCTACATCAAAGCCCACGAAATACATTTCTCCCGTTGGTCATCTCACTATTCCAAGATAGGCATATACTTCAATTAAAAAAGAAACGCCTATATGCACTTGTTTCGTAATAATTAAACTAAATAGGCATATATTGACAGTTGACTAGGCGAGAAATTAGTGTAAATTATAAGCTGAAATTTAATTAACATGCAAATATGTATTACTCACAGTGTTAACTAAATTATCATTATTGGTATCGTTAACTGTTCATTTAGGTTATTTTATTCTTCATTGGAATTGGGATTATCACAAACTACTGCTCTTAATGTTCGATAACCACTTTCCTTGCTTTTATCAAGGAAGATTCATATAGAAACAGGGTGTGGGACACGTCATCGCATGCGCGTACACATAGGCTTGAGGTGCGGCCGTACAATTTCGCGTACGGATTGAGGACAAGAGCACGCAGCCAATAGCAGCAAGGGCCCTCGTTTGTTTTACCGAAAGCCGCCATGTTGTATGACTGAGTTTCCTTCCTGTAGACACTTCTTGCGTGGTTTATCTACTGAATAAACGTGCTCCGTACTACACGTCTGTTTCCTTTATAGCTGGGCTATAGCTTAGCTGGTTCTGGGAGTCTAGTTAGATGTTGGAGAATCTGCCATAGAGATTTCTGAGTCGGTCAGGCTTTACTAAGGTAGCAATCCGCTACAAGGGAAAAGGAACTTATTTAAAGGTCACTTTCAAAAAATGGTTTTGAAGCCTGACGTCCTATCAACGAAGAAAACCTGTCTGCTCGCTCGCACAATTTCTTCATCAGGTCCTTGTAATTTGTTCCAACGATTTTATTTCAGATTAGGAAAAAATGCATTATATGAGAAGAAAATCATTTGAATCGCAATCAAAATAAAACACTTTTTTAAAAAGCCTTAATGAAATGAAAAGCCTGAAAGATAGAAACTAAGAACGAAAAAATTAAATGTCAATTTGTTAAGGGCATTAATGCCACCCAATTTATTCCGCTTACTTATCACGAATTCCAATTAGCTTATACTTACAACTTTTCAGTAGCCAATTTTTGTAGCGCTCAATATGCCAATATCCAAAATACCTAATAAAAACTGCGTAATGACTGTATAATCGCTATTCTAGGTTTTAATTTCTATAAGTTAGTATTTGTAGGAATGGGATTTTATCGACCATGGGGGGAATTAAAGAAATTTATGTATGATAGAGAGCTTTTATTTGAGTAAAAGAAACTATTCTCATTCTTCCATTTGGGGTTGATTAGAGGATTCATCCATTTGGGGTGAATCAAAGGATTCTTCCAAATCTTCACGAAGCTTCTCATAGAATCGACAGAGACATTGTTCTGGATTTTCGACATGATCATTATAATGAATTATATTGCTCCTAAGATCCATAACAATGTTAAAACATTTGGGCATATTCATTGCGAAAAAGTTTTGACATGCACGAAATAATGCTTCATTAAGTTTGTTTCCGGGTATCTCGGGGTCATCTGGGTCAACATATAATTCAATACCTGCTTCAACAATAGCTAGAGTCATATTTTCAATATGGCTAATGACAGCATCGTAACCGTCATGGATGGCATCAATATACACGTTTCGATCTTTAAAGTCTTCAGGACTCTTCCCTGGAATGAATCTGTAGAGGGAACATCTTAGTACTTTTAGGCAAGATGACCATATAAAACATCCAATGGGTCCCTGAGCTTCAGTCAAGTCAATATCTCTACGAATTAAATACATAAATCCATTTGTCCACTCGTTTATGCAGCATCGCCTATCTATCCAGGGCAATTCTCCAGGTAATCTGCTCCATCTTTCAAGGGGGAATTGAAAACCAGTATCGACAAGAGCCGTTCCAACATAACTGAATCGACAATGTTCCTGGAGATGCTCCCGTGTAATAGTGAAGAGTTTGGGCCTTATACGTCGGTTAAACTCTCGCGCAATGGCAAAAATAACCTCTTGTTTTAAAGGAAGGAGGAAACTCGCGCATTCTTGAATGGTCCTACATGAATGTCGAAGGTAGTGTACCGCTCTACATACAAAACATCCATCTGCTGGAGGTACAGGTTTAACGACGGGTTCATATAATCGAGACTGAAGAAAATTTTTAGGCACCTCCAGAAAATTATCTTGGCATAGTTTAACCCTCAGGATCATCCAAGGAGCAGCGATAAATAAAGGAATCGGTACTCCAGCTTCATGAGGCTGTAGAACGGTAGAAAAATCTGGACTAAATTTAAGACTTGGCACATGGCCAGGTAATAGGTCAAAGTCAATATAGAGTTGCTCATCTTCACTGCCATCTATGAAGGCTCGATGAGGAATATTAGTTTCATGGCAATGGACACGCTCCGGTTCAATACTTCCTTCGGCAGGCATTGGTTAAACGTTCTAGGAGGCCAATGTAAATGTAGACCTTAACTTAAACTGCGAACGTGCAACGTCGATGCGATCGATAACACGTGTAGATATAAAAGAATTTTTCAACATGCTTAAAAAGTAAACTAATAGAAGAACGATAAAGAATTATTAATATTAACGGGGAAACCAAAAAGATATCGTACATTGTAAAAGCGAATTTTGGGCTTAGTATGGGTCCAGACACCTAATAGGAAACAAGGGTGTAATCGAATTTTTACATTAAACACTCTGCATATTGCATGACACTTTTCTTCCACCGGGTCTTAAACCACTTAAGGGTCACAGAATCCATCGCTTAAATTTATGCACAGGTATTTACAGCCAACTGGAGTCAATCTTGGCTCATCGAGTCAAATCGACCAATATTAATCAAGTTTATACGTCAGAATCATGACCACGTGCAAACTTTGGTGTTGAAATTAAAATCCCTGGTTGAGACAGAATCTCGGTTGACTCTGGAGGCGTTATCGCAGAAGCCAACATGCTCACTGTGCAATTACTCTTGAAATGTATTGGAGGATTGAATTGTGTGCGATTGTGGGTGGCATTGCATCGACTCTCTCAGCATAACAAAGATGAGACTAGAAACAGAATTGACTCTGCGCAAACTTATTGAGGTCAATTCGTTCACAAGTGTGAAGACCACAGGTGAAATGGTAAGACAAACGTTCTAGTTCCTTTCATAGAAAGGAGACTCGTCTTCAACATGACAATGCCCAGAATACCACATAAAGCAGAAATGATCTGTCAAAATCTGGAATTACTTTGGTTGGATCAACAGC